TGCTAATAGAAATTGAATAGAAGAATGAACTACATGAGTTTGGAGAGGCATATGAGAAAAAGACGACTATCAAGTGGACAGAAGGGGCGATTGAGAAATACAGAAGAATGTGAATGAAAGAGTGAAAGATATCAAAAATTAAATATATATTAATGAAAAGGGAGAGGAATGATGGAATGGTAAATGTTTAAGGAAAAACAGGTATGCTAATAAAGTGGAGATACAACGAATGTAACAAGAAAGGGATAAGAATATAGATTAAAATAAAAGTGAAGAATGAAATTCAGTATGATTAGGGATGTGTATGTGTGAGGAAAGAGTGGTAGGGAGTATGGATGTTATCAACCATTAAATTAGAAGTTAAGAAGGGCATAAGTGCTTTGGCAAAAAATAAGACATGCAGACAGGACGGAATACCAGTAGAAGAAACGATATATTAAGCGAAAAATTACTTGAATGTTTTAAATATTAAAGTAAGTAATAATCAAACATTTACTTTAATTTCTACCTACTATCACCTATGCGTTTCAAACTGTTTCCTCTTATTGCTTGCATATATGATTTCTAACGTATTTCCTTTTAATTTTTGAATAGGGGCCTGGCATTCAGCGAAAATTTATCAACTGCAACATTTACCGATTTATTTTGTATTTATTCGGAACTTCGGTCTGTTTAAAATATCGAATAATGTCGAGGATATTCTCTGTATACTATCATATGTAACATACGTGACCCAGACGCTGTCTCATTGGAAACCCAGGTCACGCTCGTCGGAAAAATCATGCAGTTTTCATACTTGATTTACGTTTGATTCGAAACGATATCTGCACTGAATAAAGTGCAAACTTAAAAAAAACGTACATACATATGCCAACACGTATATGTACATTTTCGAAGAATATTTCATATTCCAATAACCGCATAGTACGAGAAACTGAATTCTCTGATGGTTCTTTAGGTAGAGAGTCAAATCTAAACAGTGTTGGTGAGAACTGTTTTGAATTGTTTTTACTAGCACTCCGCTCTAGTTTAATTTTTTTATGATTGATATCATTCGAGTAATAGATACCTAGAAACAAAAATGTTCATGTACATACTGTAAAGAGATTTGACCTTAAACCGATGTGTAATGGCCCAGAATTAAACAATAGTCAATCAATGAACAGCATTGAAAGTTAGCATTGGTTAATATTAGATGAAGCCTATGGGTACCATAAGTAACTTTTACTATTTACCATTATGCAATCTTTAATTTATTTGTCACTCTTGTAATTTTCTTCCGTTTTCAGTTCTGTTTCACTATTTTCAACAAAACAGCTATCCCTCTCCTCTACATAGAAACTAATTCCGATAAGATAGTGATTAAGTACTTAAAACAATAGTGCCCATTATCTGCATGAAATTTAACACAGCATAAAAATAAAGTCATCGACAACGGTACCCATCTGGCCAAAGCTGGAAGGGTTTTACCATATGGTTTTACGTCGTACATTAACCAGATAATTAGTGTTGTGGGATGAAGGAATGAAGCGGAAGGCACATACACAATCCTTTTGGAGAAGAGACCAATCAAGGGATTGATGACCAAAGAAGAAGAAACGTTAATTAGCCGCGCTTTTGAAACGTGTAGGCGAATTTGAAAGTAACCATTTATTCAAATTGGTTGCGACATCTCTCTACATAATATATAATGTATTTCGTCGATACAAATACATATAAAAGGTATTTTTCCAACATGTTCAAAAGCCTTTGGCCAATATGAACTGAAGCGGAAAACATTTCAAGATGTCAACTTCACCTATTTTTATTAAATTTAGTCGTAATACGCTGATGGGCAAAGGATTCAGACCAGGACTTCATTCTTTTGATGTCCATACTTTGAAAGACATTCTATTATATGAAAGAGGTCAGTAAATCTTTTGACCAGGACGCTATATGAATTAATGTTTTCAAAGAATCGTGTTCTCGTGTTTCTTTTTGTCTTTTTCTTTACATATTTGCACAAAAATTCATGGATACCCTTTTCTCATAAAATTTGCACGTAGCTAAAGAACGAAACAGAAATCAAATCTGCCTTTTTGTGAAATGAACTGTGAATCACTTTGGATTTCCTTTCTAAGAAATTTATCATTTCTACTAAAGAATTGTCGATTGCTTTAGGAGTTGTTATTAATATTTTACTAGAGGTTCCTTCTTTATGACACTAACACTGAATATGAAATTCAGCAAACCAGTAAACCGAAAACAGAATTATCTTTTCCTAAAATAGTGTACTACAGTCGTTTCTGGGCTTATGCAAACGGTTAACTGAGAAACTCGAAAAAAGCTCGTTGAATCGTTTGCTTTTGTTGGCGAAAAAAAGGGTTAGAAGCATTTGAGATTTGGCGGATGATACAAATACCGTGGATACAATTGAGATGATATTTATAAGAAAGTATTACGATGATGGAACACCTTTTGAGACATTATACATAGACATATTAGAAACAAAAATAGGAGTAAAGGGAAGACTAAAAATGCTTCCAAATGGTTAGAGATATGAGATGTTATAGTTTTAGGGAAATGCGAAGATTGATTCGACATAAGAAGCAGTGGAAGAAAATTAACTAACGCATCTACTTCCGATATCCACGATGCCTTCGTTTAATTAAAAATTAGTAATAGTTTGACAAATTGGCCGTGTTGAATAGATGAATATTCGGTCAAAGGCCTTAAACGGTCATAGATATGTTGTGGTGATGTGATGGCTGTGACTAAATGCCCGCAGACGGAATCATTAGGCTAAATTAGGTTACAGTGTGGAAGAACGTCATAGTTAATATGCAAATGCTATGCGCCATTGACAACGGTACCATCCGTTCTAAGGATAGGATACAAGTACTAGTAATTTATCTAAAATACATATTCTCAAAACTATTTCGAATATTCTTCTTTTAAAGGGTAAATCAAGGGAAGAAGCTTTGCGACGCAAAGCAAACAATGTCAGAAGAGCGGAGAGGGTTGGAAACTTTGTATTTAATTACACGTCCGACTAGAAACACAATAAGAAAATTATCTCAACTGGCGCTGGGAAACAAGAGAACGAGAGTTAGGTAAAACACAGGGAAGCAAGTGCAGCACTGTGCTTGTACGTTTGTGTGTGTGTGTGTGTATGTCTGCGTGTTGGTTCATATAAATCTTGAGTTCGATTCCGCGCTACCTTAGTTAGCAGTTTCGGAGTGGATAATCACACTTTTGTTTTCGACTCTCTCGACTATTATTAGCCTGTTATTTCCTTAATAGCACCTTCCTTGTCTACTCCGAGATTTATACGACCAAGACGGAGCAGAGGGAGCGTAGCGTGAATAAGAACTTTACTTACAATATATGTATACCTTTACACAAAATATATAGATACGGTAGTTACAAAACTGAATGTAGTCCTTTCTCTCATAAACTTTTCTAATAACCACATAAAACCCATCTAACTATGCTATTGGGTAAACTGTAACATAAATAAGGTGCGCCCCATAAGTATTTTCTTCTACCAATTTGTATTTATCTGTTCTCTGTAGGCACTTTTTACTTTTTGAGTACAAGATATGACTAACACTGAATAAGTTGATCAATCTGTATTATAGTGGTGCCATTTCCGTCTAACAGTAACGACATCTTTTATGACATTTAGGCACCAATACGCATACATTACTGCATACTAAAACCAATACAACAACAATGTGAATGAAATACATTGGTGTTGCTACCATTTTATTTGGAGAACGGTTAACACCGTGTTGACCAAATAAGCAGCTCGAGATGGCTACTGATTTATAAATACCAGATATTTATTAGAAAAGTTGAAACTAGAAAATGGAGACTGTGATACAGGAACAAATAAAATAACAAGACATTCATGAAACCTGCAATTTTTCTTACAATTTACCTGTAAAGTTCGAGCACATACTTGCTTAAAAATTAAAAGCACATATTTTTGGGTTACGTTTTCGACCCAAAAAGCTCAATGATCATTTAATCCTAATTTAATCTTGTAATTTTGGTGAATACAATTTTTTCTTGGACAGCGCATTGCATTGTCCAAACAAATGATAAATTTTGTTAAAACTAGTTCTAATTCTAATTCTGGCAAGTCCTCAATTCAAATGTTTCAAGTTTATTTTACGGAAGGTGTGGTAGGTCCAAAGACAAATTTTAGGAGGAAGAACGAAAAAAATCATTGACATTTTAAAGTTAGTTGGGCCAGGGCAATCTCCTCGTAATCATTTACCTCTCTGTGTCGAACTGAACTATTTGGCGTGAAATTCCCTAAGCAGGATGCCTCTTAGGTTCCATGAAGGCCGTTTCCTTTGTAATCTGTTACATATAAAACAAACTAGCACTCGGCTCGTTAGTGTTAGTTTTGGTAATCATTGGTGACAATCGCAGAAAATGCTAGTTTTAAGCAGGACCGCCGTCTTAACGTTTTGTGTTACAATATCGCATCTTAACGTATTATCAGTGAGTGGCACGGTGCTCATTAAAGCAGGCGTTTCGGAGGACCACGCCGAACACAAAAAAGCAGACGTTTTTGGAATTTCATCAAAATTGGGTTTGTGATTTACTGAAATAATTCTAACACTAAAAGATTCAGTTAAAATTAGAATGTGCTCTAGAATATCCATTGGTAAAACGGTTTACAACAGTATAGTTTTCATAATATTTGAGTTTTTTAATTGCCTAACAGAATTAGATTAATCTTTGCCAAATTAAAGCTTTACCCATTGGATTATACGCTTGTTTTCCCTACACATCCTTAGAGCATTTGTGAAAATATTATCAATATACAACACTACAATAATAGCTACAATTTTACTCACCATTCTTTTTAAAATAGCTGTAAAAGCCCTTACCGTGAATCTGGAACAAACGTTTTTCAAATTATTATCAAACTTTTCAAACAAAGTCTGCATTAAAAATTCATCTAGTATGTTTTGTATTCAAATTATGTCTTTTTTATTAATCAGGCGCAACAGATTTTCAAGAAGCACACGGTCACAATATAGAAGGCGAAAAGAAATTTGTACAAGCCGAAAACTCTGGAAAATTCAACGAAGCCGCAGGCGAAAAGAAAACGCAAACGGACGCAGCAAAATTTTCCGACGAAAATTTTCACAAGCAACAAGGCGGTTCTACTGTTGATACCGGAAAAAATACGGCTTACAAAAAGGGACATCACAAGGCAGGATTTCACAAAAGTTATAACAAAGTAAGAGCAACAACAAAATAACAATCATCAATGTGGAGATAAGATTCGTCATTAATCTGCGTTTATCTATAGTGGGTAAAATTAATTCAAAAAATTAATTTAATAATACAACGTGGAGATACATTCAAATCTTAAACCCCCAAAACTCTCAACACAAGAAAAGTCTGAAGTCCGCAAATTAACTTGTGAATCTTGTCAAATAGTTTATATTGGCCTAACCACGAGAAACTTTACTATACGTTTGACTGAACACAAAACCAATTGTATTGCATCTACGCCAATAATTTAAAACTGATGTTAAGTCGTATTTGATAAAGTTCAAAACGTACAATTTGCCATTTTTAGAAAGCTAAGAAATTAACAAACACAAACAGTTTAACTTAGTTTCCTACTTGTTAATTACTGATTTTAATCAAATCAATTAGTTATTAAACGTATGTTTATTATTTTAAAAAGGACGAAAGCGGTAGCGAAAGCAGTTTCTTCGACGACGGTAGCGATGAAGGAGGCCATGTGTACCGAAATAACCAGAAAGGTCAATATGGAGACCAAGCAGCCCATCAAAAACATGGAGGACATTTAGATGACAGAAGGTAAATTCAATCAAAATACATCGGAAACGTACTTTTTTCTAATTCATGGTATTAATGCTGGTGGATTTGAGGAAAAAGATCGAGATCACAAATGTATAATTGTAAAATCCGTAGGTTTGAAAATGAAAAGGAAAATCGCGGAGCCTACAGCAAAGGGGACATGTACCATAAAGATTATGATGACAGAAAAGCGCATGATACGAAAAAATATTACGATGGGCACGAAAAAGTAGAAAAAACAGGAGTAAATGACAATCATGCTCTAAGAGGGGACAAAGGGTAACGTATCATTCCCTAGACTTAACCCAAATCGCTTTCATTTTAATGTTTTTCAGTTATTACGAAGAAAAACACATCCCATATACACATCACCATCCCCAAGTGCCACACGTATCCCATGACCCTCATGTTCCGCATGTACCCTACCACACCCACGATTACGTACGACCTTTACCAGCGGAGAAAACCATAACAATTTACGAAGATCCCAGAGTTTACGTGAAGGGAGCTGCCCACGATAGAGCCCAAGGAGATAGAAGCAATATTAAACTTGATATTCGGCCTCCACCACCCGCATATCATTATGATGATCCTGCATACGATTATTATTATTAATAAATTATTTAGTATTACTTCTTTTGTGAAATTTGATGTTTATTAAGGTGGTGATAACGTTTCTGTTGTAGCCCAGCCCTCTTTGTTCCGAAAAATAGCATCCTGTTGATTTCCACAATTTCTTAATCTCGAAAGTAAAAAAGATCTATGTAGTAATTGATCAATTTTTTAAATTTGGTGTAACTAATTTCTAAACATCAAATCGTATGGTGCAATCATTTTCTAGTATAAAAATTTATATAGATGAATTTGATCCATATTACCAAATTGTGTCACCAAGATTATCCTAACATTAGTAACTTTTATTTTTAGACTATATTGACTGGATTTAAAAAACAATAATTAGGTACAATAATTTTTACGTTATATATACTTTCTATATTATAAAACACAAAATGAACAAAAATTATTTATTTTGTACATAGCTAATTTTATATTGCCTAAACAGAAAATAATAAAGCAGCTTTAATCTGTAACCATCGAAACTAATTGTATTGTTTATTAATTTTCACTGATTTTTTGATTGGTGCAATATGAAGCATTTTATAGTATTAAAGAAATAAAACCATGTTGCTTTTCAGTGTTTTAATTTATTTAGAGTTTTACTGTACAATTGCTTCAGTTTTTAGGCCCAAAAAGCCGAAACAATTGTAGAGCAACCTGATTTTATTTCTTTACTATTATTTATTAATAATCGTTTTCGGATATATCTAAGGTGAAACATTTTTAATAGAAAGAAATTAAAGTATTAGGACAAATACTTTATTATAAGTAGATTACTAAAAATTAATTCATTTTAATTAATGAACTTCAGTTTTTAATTTCGTTTTAGAACACTTTGTATAATCTATAAAGTTTTGATTCAGTTTTAGACTGGTGGCGTCCTCTGCTGTTTGGAGGATGAAGTAGCAACACAAATATGCTAGGATGCATTCTGTATCAGAAAATTAGAAAATTCAAATTCAAATTCACGGACGATATTTTATAACAAATTTTTAAACAAATTACAATCTAAATTAGTTGCTTTTTCTTAACAACAAGCTCAAAATTTCAGGAATATTAATTTCTATGATAACTACTGCTCAGATTATTAAATTTCCTAACATTATTTCATTATCTATTTAAACTCAAAATTTTCCTAATACACTAATTTAAATTAACTTCATTCATTCTTACTGTACATTAGCAGAAATTGTAATATATTTAAACTTTACTGATATGTAACTAATTAACAATTCCTAGACTTGATACATACAAAGAATATTTATTAATTTCGAAGTCAAAAAAGTTAACTATTTACACTCAAAAACAGATTACGTACAAATTAAGGATAATATAAACCAAACAGTATGTAATAGTAACTAATGTAAGTGTTTTTAAACAATTAACGATGTATTTAACTGGGATAACTTAATCTGATCTAATCAATTTTGTTTTTTCTTTTAAAAGCAACCATAGTTACAACTACATAGGTATTTTGGTACATTTATATTGTGAAAAAACAAAAAAAAAACAAGAGTAAAAGCACTGGAATTTTCCCAAGAAAATGTGTAAAAGAGGTGGCCTACCTTGCAAGGACTCTCAGAATGCTAAAAACATGCTGCTGCTTGTTCCTAACTATTTTCAAGAAGCACAAATACATTAGCGAAAAATGTTGCGTACTGATTTAAACACACAGAACTGAATTAATTTAATGTTTAAACACTAAACAGATCAATTAATACGGACTTTTCGCGTTTAAACATACAACTAATACCGAAAACTACGAATAGGATAACTTGATGTTAATCACGACGCAGACTCGATATAAAGTATTTTCGCGGACGTCCACGAAATTGTGCGATAAAGTACGAATCTTTCTCCCAATATTAAAATAATTGCACCAATTGTATCGACTTGAAAGATCCACGAAGAATTTAAAGATATTTATGAATTACGAAATTATTACACTAGTTAATAAGTTCCGCAGAAACTTTAATAATACAATATATTACTACATACAAGTAACGCAAAATAATATAATGCTATAGCTAACTGCATTATTTGTTAGAAACAAATTAATAAGTTGAAAATACAATATTAAACACGAACTAGAAGTATTTTTAATCAGTTTACGATTAACTTTTTCTTTATTTTTGAGTTTTCTCGACATATGGACACATGTACCTTTCATTTGTTACCATTGTATAATAAAAATTGTCCATCTTTTATAAAAAAAAAATTAGAAGCATACATAAGCGAACAGAAAACTTATTCAGGGAATCATAGTTTTTATTAAATTATTAAGAATTACAACACAATTACACGCCACTTTGGCACTGACAAATTAATACATGAAAATTACATAAAGACAAAGTAAATTATCTACAAATTAAAAATAATTACAGGAATTACAGGTCATCTAATATTCTTGATCTTCTGCCAATTATTAAATTTTTGATAAGAGGCATTAAGTAACTGGTTTAAATGTTTTGTTAGATGATGGGAGAGGGGGGAAAGTTCCCTTATCAACTTATCCTTCAAAAAATACACCAAATAAATGTTTATTTTAGAAAAAAGCTTTAAAAATAAAGAAAATATTACCTCAAAAGGTTTTAACTTGGCTGCATGAAATCTTTGAATAGCCTCATGCATCTTGACGATTTTTTGTTCTAATTGGGGGGTAGTTGGAGGAAAACATTTCCAAAAATGACTCAACAGTTCACACAATGACAAATACAAATGTCTTACTTCTTTTTCAATATCAGCTGGGACCAATTCTAAAAATTAGTCACATCAAATATTGAATGGATTACAATGATAAGTAAAACACTTACGAGCTAAGGACTGCTCCTGAAAACCCCTCATGAGGGCTCCACCAGGCGATAATTCGCCAAGAGCGCCTACGGCAGCAGCTGGATTCACAAGAATATTGCTAGGTTGTCTTGAATTTTGCCACTGTTTTGTTTCTTGTAAAACAGCTCTCGTTAATATGGCAGCTTCATTGGGTGAAAATTGCTCAACATTACCACCCGGCATTGGACCATGAAGGTACCTTTCAACCTAAATTTAATAAAAATGTTACTTGTTTCGATTATAGCTAAAATAATTAGATATAGACATATACCTTTGATAAATTTAACTGTATTTTAGAATTATCACTCTTATCGTTTGATATTTCTAAGTCCTCATACGTTATCTTCTCTTGAATCCTCAACTTTTTGTTTAAATGCTCATCACCTTCAGGCCTGCTATCTTTCACTTTGGCACTAGTTGAACTTTCTTGAAGACCATTCTGGTCAGATGTTTGGTCCGTTTTATTTTTTGACGCCTTAAGTACCTGTGTTAAAACTTAGCATAGAATAAAGAAATAATTTTTGCGATTCTTTAAAATTGGTACCATTATAGAATGCTGATTAAATCTCTTTATCATTGCTTGACTGACGGTCCCAAAGGTACCAGGTAGTTTTTCGACTTCTGTACCGTAACCTTCGTCGAGCGATTTATCTTCAAACGATGTAATATCGACGAGAGGATCTTTAACACCGTCTTGTATATCTCTCTTCATTTCTTGATCATCTATTTTACCACACTCTGTAAATAAATCTTTACTCTCGGCATATTTTCGGTCCCTGAAAATCACAAAAGTAAGCAAATTACTGGTTTCTTCAAATGTCTTAAAAAATACCTATGAAAGTAATGCGACTGAAAAAATTTGGTCCAGAATTGTGCCTCTGACATTTTTGATGGAACATGTTCGATATATTTCTTTTTAACAGCTGGATATGTTTTAAAAATAGACTCGATAATATCGGCAGTTATATTATACTTTAAACCGTTGCAGCCATCTGTTTGGGGTTTAATGTCAGCCAAAAAAGCCCCAGAGACTCCAATTTCTTGAGGCTGTGTGTTCTGCGCCTTGGTGTACTGAGAGGCGTGTTGAGCCCAAAACTCTTCAGAAGTAACAATTTCAGTCATAACCAAGTCCTTATAGAGCTGAAGTAAGGCCGGATTGGATGATAGCAATCTATTCTTTTCTTCTAGCTCCCTATCAACCTACAAAACAACAAATAATAGACAAAGATATACGGAACTATTAAGGAAAGTTTACTTTTCTCTTAAACTTGGGCAAAAGGGTTTGTAGCAGTTCTTTAACCCGATCTCTGTCTGCTGCTTGTGCTTGGGTCCCATTACGATTAATAAAATGAAAAGTCGAGGACACACCATTGTGCAAAACTACCTGAAGTTGAACCTTGGCTTTCCCCTCAGGAGATATCTTTTGTGCTAAACCAAGAATAAGTCTCCACAACTGACATGACAAATAAAATGTTTACTTAGTGTATATCAATCACTCACTTTTGATATCTGAATAATGATGTGAAATCGAAACAGTATCTCGATTTTCCATCATCCACGCAATCCTTTGATCCATTAAATATAGGGTACCGTCGCCCTTTTTGTACCTTACGTGTGGCACTTGTAGTAAAATTTCCTCACTAGACGTAGTCATCGTAATTCTTCAGTTACGTTCACATTTACTAGTAATACAATTTATACAAACAGCAGATCAAATAACATTTATTAATGAAGTAGGAGCAAATAATACTATATTTAAAAATGCTATTATTGAGATTACAGTTAGGGTTAGGTTTGCAACAATTTTTAGGTTGGAACTTTAAGATGACTTTAAGGCTGCGTTCGAAATTGGTAACCTTCACTTGTATGCGGTTCAGTCGTAATTCAGTTGGCAGCATTGAAAACATGCTCAAATGTTCAAATTTTAAACAAATGAGTTTAAGACACGATACAAAAAGAAATTAGAAGAATATTTTTACAAGAGTTTACGGAATAGATATGCTTTATATGCTTATATAGAAGTATAATAAATCATGTACATTCACTGACTATTAAACTAGTGAATTAATTGAAACACAAGATTTTTTTACATATTTGAATAATTTAAGCGTTTCTCATTATAAATAAACTATCAATAATTAAAATATTAATTAAATAGCAAAGGAACATCACCACAGTTACTAATATTAAATGTATTTTGTTGGACTTACCTGTATGATTAATATTCGCGTAGGCAAAATTTTCTTTTGCTAATGAAATTAGCCTGCTATTAATGCTTTAACAGGACAATTGTATCTTTAAACAAAAACTATTGCGTATAATTTTTACTTAAAGCGTAAGTTTTTTTATCATTTTACATTGAAAATGAAAGATATATAAAAAAAACAAAAATGCAAAATAATACTGAAGTGGGGGAATCCTAGAAATGAACTTTTTCTGCTATAATTAACTATTTAAACTTCTCGAATATATACACATCCACGGTAGCATGTAAATAGTAAACCTTTTGTTGACTAAAGCGCGCACCTTATCAAAATTTTTAATTTTAATTAATAGGTTTCGAAAATAGTAATTAATAGCTGTGCAAAATAACGCCAACTTACAGTGTCCAAAGGATAAACTTAAACAATACATTATTAAGTTTTGATATCCAGAATATACGACAAACAATTAGACATTACTGATATGCATGGCTATTGTTTAAAAATTTCAAATTACTTTTTTATATCAAAATAAGCAGATTCATTATTATCTCCAATTTAGAAAAACACAGCTTCTATCTCTGACCCCAAAAGTATTGTAAAGGCAGGTAAGTTTATAATCCCTTTTATATGACAAACTTTACAAAGAAATGTACTCAGACTAGAGACTTACTTGCGTAGAAGATTTAGATGTAATTACCCTTGAGATGCTTAGGAAAGCATATTTAGTTTGCTGATTTCTCCTTGACAAATGTTGACCTACCTTGCCCGAAAAATGTCAGATGTAATGCATTTTTCTTGTTTAGTTTTAATTAGGCAAATACTCCATGTAATAATTAGTGCAATGTATATATTTGCAAAGGGAATATGTACCTAGAACGAGACCTTTTTCTTCACAATCAATGATGAATTTTAGTAGTATTTTTTTCATGACAGTGATTGAAGATGTTTTTTCCCATTGTTTTAATATGGGTAATTGTATTTTTGACGTGTTGGTACATGAAAGACCATGAACACGAGTGGAATTTGGCCAAAAAAATACCGGGACCACCGGGATATCCCCTTATAGGGAACGCTTTTTTATTTTGGGGAAATACTGAGCGTAAGTAGAACTTTTGTCTTTAAGAATACTAAGTTATTACTTATTAATTTACCTGTACCTAAGCACGTTATTGTAATAAAACATAAAAAAATTGACATTTTTAAATGAGAATCTGACTATCTCAAAAATACGCATGTTAGTTCCTTAGGGCTCATCTGGAAGACTACGCTTGAAAAGTTGTAATTTCGATTCACAATTTTATTTTATAGAAATTACTCGCCGATTAAGTATACTAATAAGAACATACACACGAATGATAGGGCTTTGGATAGGAACAAGTTACAAAGTGTTATTATTTGATCCAAAGGATATTGAAATTGTTTTGAAATCCACGAAAAATGTAGTAAAAGCGGATGATTACTCCTTTTGGAGACCGTTCCTTGGAGAAGGTTTACTGACAATTCCAGGAGGTCTGTTTGAAAACAAAATTACAATACATATACGGTAAACAATAGAAATCGCTTATAACGACCTTTAAGGAACTTGAATTTGATGAAATGAAATGTGGTTTATATGTACGCTATGTTTCCAATAGAAAAGGGTAGGTAACATGACGTATAAAATGTATTATTCCTGTTGGGATCTATCCGCTATCATGTTGTTATACCAGGTGTAGTTATAAGCGAAATCTATTGTGTAACTGTACTGTATAAATAAATCACCTACGAAGTTTTCCTCAATTACCATTTGCAGGTAATAAATTTAGGCAAAACAAAAGGCTTATAGCTCCTGCATTTCAACTCAGCAACCTGAAAGGTTTTTTTGAAGTCTTCAATGTCCAAACAGCGGATTTGATAAAAATTCTTAAAAATCATACCAATGATGAATTTGATGTACATTCAATTATTGCGACATATACAATGAATATTTTAATGGGTAAGTAGGCAGAGTACTTAATTTTGTTATACAATATTTACGTACTGTAATCAATTCCAAAGCCAGCGCTGCAGGATGATCATCATCATAAGGTCGTCAGTCCTAAAACTGGTTGGACACGTACCTCCACTCTTTCCTATCCTGAGCTAAACTTCGCATTTCCCTAAAACTAGAACAGCCTACATCCTTAACTATTTGCGAACAGTAATCTAATCTAGGTCTACCTCTACCCCTCCTAACTCCTGTTTCTGCCTCTAATATGTCTCTGACTAGACCTTCATGCCTAAGAAGGTGTCCTACCAACCTATATCTCCTATTTTTTATTGACTTCCATAGAGTCCTCTGTTCTCCTATTCTTTCCAATACCTCTTCATTTCTAACCTTTTCTACTCACGATATTCTCATCATCCGCCTATAACACCACATTTCGTACGCTTCTAACCTTTTCTTTTCCGCCGCGCCCACTGTCCATGTTTCACACCCGTACAATGCCGTGCTCCAAACATACACCTATAACAATCTTTTTCGAATTTCTAGATTAACCGTTCGCGAGCATAGAAGTGATTTCTTTTTATTAAAGGCTACTCGACCCTGCGCTATCCTCTGCTTTATATCCCTACTACTCCTTCCATCCTGACTTATCTGACTTCCTAGGTATCTAAAATGAGACACTTCTTCTAATTTTTCGTCTCCTATCTTTATATTCGCCCTTTCCCTACTTTTTCTTCACTTTTTTACTTTTATTTATTTTCATACAGTACTGATCTGTCAGAACCGCTTCCATTTTATTTAAAGCTATCTCTAGGTCCTCCTTGTTAGTTGCTAAGACTGCTCTGCAGGATGATACTAAATACTAAAGATTTTTTGTGTTTCAGAAACTGTTCTAGGTTTGAACAAAGAAACATTGGAAAAAGACGCCATAAAATATGGTTACGCGGCAGATAGGTAAGTAAACAAGCTTTCTACAAACACCTAGTACGACATCGAGAAAATATGCGATCGATGTTATTGGTTTAATTTTTCAGGCTCGGCAAAATTGCGACCGAGCGCATGTTCAAATTCTGGTTGCGTCCCGATTTTATTTTTAATTTTACAAATCGCAAAAAGAATCAGGACAAATATTTGAAAGTTATTAACGAAATAGCAAATCGGGTTATAGACGAACGACAAAAAAACAACAGTGGCAACATAAATAAATACGATTTTAACGCGAACAATAAAAACTGGTCAGTTTTTCTCGATTCCCTTCTGTCAGCCAAAGATGACGACGGTCTACCATTATGTAACAACAGCATTAAAGATGAAGTGGTCACTTTTCTTTTTGCTGTAAGTAAATCATCTACGTTTTAGAATATATGAAGATAATTAATTATTCGTTTGTCCAACAATTTGGAATCCTTTCAGGGTCAGGATACAACAACTTCCTCGATTTGTTTCGCATTGTGCATCTTGGGATTGTACAAGGAAATTCAAGTAAATTCATTCACAGTTTGTAACTACTAACAATCCTTCCTACACCTTAGCCCCTATTATATTTTCTCCCTCATCCCCATTTATTACCTCATTTTCATCTCTTTTTACAATAAGTTTTGTACATTTTCGCAGGTGTAGTTGACTGTGAAGTTTTGGCTTCCGAGTTTATACCGTGTAGTACACTGATATATCATCAAATCAATAGATTACATAGGCACCTTCAGGACTTGTTAGTTGTTAAGTAACAACCTACAATTACCATCAGGAAAGCTCTGAAGCTGTCTAACGTGATCATAAACGAAAAATTGAATTAAGTATAGAAGCCAAGTCTTCCCAGTCTGTTAGCAAAGGTTCATTTGCTCATTAATTGTCGAATTTTAGAAAAATGTATACGATGAAGTTATCTCGGTGGCTGGTAGCGACCCCACCTCTTATATAGGTTACGATGAAGTCAAAAAAATGGAATATTTAGATCGGGTTATCCAAGAAACCTGGAGGTTGTACCCACCAGCACCCGTTATAGCGAAGAAAACGACAGAAGATGTTCAGTTAGGTGTGTACTAAATTCAATGTTCTTTGTCAGCATTCTGTGGAAATTGTCAGGAGTGGATCGTGACTTCGAATTTGGAATCCTGAACAGCTCCCACAGAATACTGACTCATTTTAGCAGATGCTAGTTAACATGATGACTACCTATCTACTTCATAAGGTAAAACAATAAGGTCTTGGTTAGAATCAAGTGATTATTTTTGACGTGACAACGTCTTATAATTCGATCGAGCCGGCTGCAGCACGAAAAAACATGACTCATGCGGCGTTACCTCGCTCTGAGGCGTTCCATTTAAGGCTTGAAGTGCAAGCGAGAGCGCGGAACGAGCGATAAAGAGGCACAATCGGCCTTCGCGTTCGGCAGCGTTCGACATCTGTCTCTCTCCTACTTGAGTGAGCGATGCTTCCGCGTGGACAGCTGCTATACAATAATACATTTCCATTTACCTCCTTCTCTATATCCATACAAAATATCTATCAAACAAATAAAATTAAAATTTTCTTTTGAAAAATGAAACCATTCCATCAGTATTTTCTTATGACGTTGTCACGTTCAATTATCGTCAGTAAACCGACTTTACAGACAACCGATTTTTTTAGAAAATTGTGTCTTGCCGAAAAATACAACGATCGCGATTATGATTTTTTTCTTGCACCGCAACGCTGACATATACCCCAACCCTTACACCTTCAATCCGGATAATTTTCTCCCGGAAAAAGTTAATCGTAGGCATCCCTGCAGTTTCATTCCCTTTTCAGCAGGATATAGAACATGTGTTGGTAAGATACATGCTTTTTACAACACGTTAAGTTTTTTTTTGTTGATTTTGGAGTTTATTGATTTCCAGGACAAAAGTATGCGCATCTACTGGTCAAACTAGCACTTGCCTCAATTATTCGAAATTTTGAAGTTCACTCAGAAAGGGAAGAAAAACATTTTGTGTTGTCTCTTCAAACAACCCTCAAGAGGAAAGATGGATTCCGTCTAACATTGTATGAAAGGAATAAAAACGCTGAATAGCTATAAGTCTAAAAGATTTTATTATTATATATATTATCGATTTAGACGAAACTATTCATCATTTTAAATTAATAAATTGGTGAATGTGTTGTTTATAGTTTTCTTCTAGTAAATGCCCTACCGTCTCATTTTCCCAATAAAACACTCACTTACGAAACCATTTTCCCAATCCTGTCACTACTTCCCCGTTTAACCCTTGCTGATGTTTCCCTATGTACCTTATTACGCCGTCATTCGTTGGAATAATTTCTTTATAACGTCTATTTTACGAAGAATTCACTGTTACCTCTATTCCTTTGATGTCAAATATAAGATTTATTTTCCCATACTACTATTCTAAATACTTCACTTGTGATTCTCTCAGTGGTGTTTAATGAATATTGTGTGCAAACTTGGACAATAAGTAACATTTGTCCCAACTTATTATTTGCATAGTTATTGATACCGGATCATCGTCTAATCCACAGGCAGATCATAAGTGAATCGGGGATATCCGCGACGGCTGCTACATACGTTATATAATCATAACAAGATGGCCGATCTTCGAAAATAGTCCACGTTGAGTTGATTGATAGCTGCGATTTTCAAAAATCTAATACTTTTATAGCAATACAGTTCGATTTTCAGAAACTTTATTGACTGCTGCGATTGTTGCAGATGTCCTGAAAGAATTAGAATTCTTAGAAATAGTCCACATGGATCAAACTCGTAGGTACTATGGCGCTCCTAGGAGTTAACCCAGTCGTACGGACGGCTGGGTGCCTTTTGAAGATTTCCCCTCTTCCACGAAAACATAAAAGAAATCGTACTGTATGATATTAGTAATTTTATTAACTTATTTTCAATAGCCACTTACATGAACCTGTTATATAATATTTGCATTTCCTCGATCATTCTTCTTAATTACTAATCATGAAGGTCGTCCAATACGACATCCGCCGATACGAGCTCCAGAAATCATACGATGAGACGACAGAACACGAGAGAGAAATTACCGAGCGCCATGGCCTAGAGATTTAGACTATTGTTTGGCATTACGGAGGACGCCAGTTCGATTCCGGGTCCGTCTGCCTTGGTCTAAGTTTTTCTATAGTTCCCTTGAATCACTTAGGCAAATGTTGAGGCAGTAATATTCCACAGATAATCTTTCATTCACTTCTGTCTTCATTTCGTCCGTCTCATCTTTCTCACCCGAACCACCACCCACCCATTCCCACGATTCCTGAAAAGAGGCTGAAGAGGACCTTCGGCCCTACCTTCTGACGTAGTCCGGAGGGACTGCCCGCCCACCAGCATTAGTGGCTAGTGGGAATAAAACACCCAAAAGTTTTAAAAGTTTCGAGAGAAATCAGAGGAGATCCTTCTCCCTGGCTAACTACCTGTCACTCCTCTTCAGTGAAACTATTACCATAACTATTACTTACACTAGCTGAAAGGCTACCCAACCTTCAACGTCACCTTGCCTGAATTACGTTTGGATTGAGCTGGTGCCACGAGCTGGACGATCTGCCGCAGCCTAAAGAAGACGCCACCGAGGGACTATATCACAGCCGTTGAAAGTTTTCTTTTTCACATATGATATAGGTAAATGATATTTATTTTCTTTTCCAACAAAAGATATTCTTTTTCCAACATCATTATTTAACCAGTTGCATTGTTCATAAATTACAAGTACAAGCTTACATGAACTATAAACTTTGTTGGAACACAGACACGTGAGTTTAATTAATAACAGAACAAGGACAATAATTGTCGTTAATGATAAGTGCTAAAGCAAACATGTAATCGTTTTTCCGAAATACTGACTCTTTAAAATTGCCATTGTAAACCGATAATGAATACAAAACAAAACGATTAAAATTAAGTAGTATCTCTGCTAATAATACGTAATACGCTTTTAAAATTGATTTTACTTCTGTTTTTTTCTATAAAACATTATTTTATATAAAAATTTAAATAAGTCAGTATAAAACCTCAATATAGTGTAGTACCAAAATGATTGCTGCAATCCTACTTTTTTCTACGATCAGTTTTATATCGTATTGGTACATTAAAAATTATATAAATTTTAGAAATTTGGCTAAGAGTGTAAAATGTCCACTCCTCCATCCCTTCTTTGGAAATTTATTTTTGTTCTCAGGAACTGTAGAGGGTGAGCAAGTTTTTGCTACATATTTTTATACCAAATGATACAAATGGGCTTTCAGATATTACTATGAAAACTATACATATGTGTGAAAGAAACCCTAAAAGATACGGAGTTTGGAAAGGGCCTTATTTCACTTTATATGTATTTAACCCTTACGATATTGAGATGGTATTCAAAAATACAAAAGAACTTGACAAGCCCCATTTCTATAAAATATTAAGGAATATTTCAGGTCCTACAAGTCTAACCATGCCTTTCGGTGGGTAATTAGTTCTCATGGCGATTATTTATAACAAAAATAAGTATCCCGTCAACAAAATATTCCATTTGAAAACAGGGCGAAATTATAACGATCCTTTATTTTCTTGAAATAACAATTCCAGGTCCGAAGTTTCGACAACACAAAAAAATTTCCTTACCTTGGTTTCAACTGAAAAATTTGAAAAATATTACAGACCATTTTAATAACCAAGCAGAGGATTTAGTTCAGGCATTTAAAGGAAAAGTTGGACAAGAATTTGACGCAAAATACGACATTGGAAATGCTGTTATGGCATCTTTAGCAGGTACTTAACCAAATAATAAATATGGAAATAGTTTCTGCAACCAAACAACAATTTTATTTCGTAAATTGCTTACAGCCACTGTAGTTGGAGTAAACAAAGAGTATTTGGCCAAAGATACCCTGACATTTTCTGATTTAATAGAAAAGTAAGTCTTCGCATTTCCCTAAAACTAGAACATCCCACATCCTTAACTAATTGCGAACAGTAATCTTATCTAAGTCTACCTCTGCTCTTTTTAACTCCTGTTTCTAAACTTCCTGTGTTCTACCAGCCTATCTCGTCTATTTCTTATTGACTTCCATACCGCCTTCCAATCTTCTACTTTTTTTAGTATCTTCTCATTTCTAACGTTTTCTGTCCACGGCATCCTCATCATTATACATTAGCATTATTTTAAAATAAATAAAATAAAATTGTATTTCAATATTTATCGTCTACAACTAGTGTTTCACGAACTTCTTGTTCTTGTCTTGCTTTTATGTTCTTATCTTGTTCTTGCTGCATAAACAGGACCAGGAATTTCTGAGCAAAAACAATACAAAGCAAGAATTTTTCTTAGCAAGGGCAAGATTTCTTGTCAAAAACTTATCAAGAAGCCAGAACTACTTGCTCTCTGAGTTCAAGTATACAATGTTTCAAAATGGACTAAAGCAAACAAGTTTTGACGTCGAATTTAGGTAAATCAGATTTGGAGACTCCCCAGTGTTTCCCCAAATCGCCAAGAACAAGAAATAGCAAGACTCTGGCCAGCAGAACAAAAATGAAGCCAGCAAAAAATTGACAAGACAAGAAATCTTGCTTTGTACATCACTACCTGCAATCATCAAAAAATTTAAATTGCTTTTGGTTCAAGACTCGCTCACATTGCAACAGAAAGGATGAACAAAATTTGGTTGATGCCTGATTTATTATATTATATGTCGGGAAAAGAGAAGCAATGTGAAAAATATAAAGACGTATTTGATGAAATCGTTACCCGTGTTATAAGGGAAAGAAAAAATAGTTACAAACAGGGCCAAATAGACAATGTTTTCGTGGATCAGCTCTTTGAGGCTAAACTTGACGATGGATCACCATTTTCAGACATTGACATAAAAAATGAATTAAAAACAATGCTTATTGCAGTAAGTATTAATGATAATAGATACTCCATCTGGGGTGATTTACCACTGATTATGGGTTCTCTTCTAGGGGCACACTACAACGTTAAGTTCACTCGGCTTTTGCTTATCATTGTTGGGTCTCGATAAAGATGTTCAGGTACAGTATAAGGGTGATGCTTTTTTATTTTGAAAACATATTCTTTGGTCCTAGAACTGTCCTAGCGTACTAAAAAGTTGGCATATCCTAATTCCACAGTCACACTATATACTGTTCGTTTCAAGAAGTTGGAGATATGACCTTTCCCTTCATTAGGATGCGCCGTAGCATAATTCCAAATTTAATCATATTTGTCTGCGTAGCTCATTACTTCACCGATCATCGAGCGAGAGCTAGACAATAGTGTACAGTACCATTTGCAAAATTATTTAAACTGCCTCGTTAAAATTTAAGAATATGCTTTATTTAAAAGCATATTTAGCCAAGTGAATTAACTTAACGTTCTACACATCTACAAAACTTTTACTTTCTTTTCTATTGTTAATTTATATACATTTTTGTTTTAAGAAATTGCTAAACATTTTCGTCTAGTACTGTACAGTTCTAGCCGATCTCTTAAGACCGCCCATAGTGAGCTCTGCTCGTTCAAGCTTGTTCCGACTATTTCTGTCTTGCTCACGCCTAGTGCGTATTCTTTCTATCTTCGCGCATATTTCTTTAAGGTCACAATTCAAACAAATTGAAATGGGCTGTACTGGTGGTGGAGTAATTCTAAATCCCTACACATAAACTTGAATCTGTTAACAAAGAATACGATGGAGTTGACTAATTCCTTGATTGACTTACCTTTTTATGCTTGTAATTTATGGTTTTCTATTTTCATTTAGGAAAAACTATATCAAGAAGTGACTTTTGTACTGGGAGATGATATGACTAGACCTATTACTTACGAAGATATTAAAAGATTTGAGTACATGGACCGTGTACTCCAGGAAACCTGGCGCTTGTATCCACCAGCATCAGTTATTCCAAAAGTTGCAACACAAGATTTCCAATTAGGCGATATAAGAGTTCCAAAAAATACCGAAGTCCTTATCCTTACCTATGCTTTACATCGCAGCCCTGATATTTTCGAAAATCCCGCAAAATTTAATCCCGACAATTTTCTACCAGAAAAGACTACAAAGAGGCATCCTTGCAGTTTCGTCCCATTTTCAGGAGGAAACAGGAACTGTTTCGGTGAATTTTTAAAATCCTTTATAAATTCGTGTTTCTAATAGCCTGTTTGGTATTTCAGGAAAACATTACAGTAGTTTGTTGCAAAAAGTCTTCATAGCGCGTATAATACAGAATTTTAAGATTCATTCTAATGTACCACAGAAGGACTACAGATTATCCTTCGAGGTTACTTTAACAAGAAAAGAAGGATTTCTCATAGTCTTGGAACCAAGGAACAATGTCTAGTGAACACAATTTTGTAATACACGCACAAATAAATTATATAGATATTAGTAAAGTCACAAATAAACATGAAACTACTTGTTTTTAATTTCCATTTGTTTATAGAAGTTAATCACTTTTATTCGTTTCAAAATAACAATTTTTTCGCGTCTTAATTTAAACAAATATGCGAATCAGTGCAATTATGTAATAAATATATAATATCTATAACGCTATTCACGGAGCGGCATGGCCTAGAGGTTTAGACCATTGCTTAGCAATAGGGAGGACGCCGGTTCGATTCCGGTTCCGTCTGCCTTGGTCCAAATTTTTCTGTGGATTCCTTAGATCACTTAGGCAAATGCTGGGGCAGTAACATTCCACAGATAACCTTTCATTTCCTTCTGTCATCATTTCGTCCGTCTCATCTTTCCCATCCGAACCATCACCCACCCATTTCCACGATTCCTAAAAGGAGGCTGATGAGGGCCTTCCTTCCTACCTTCCAGCGTAGTTTGAAGGGACTACCCGCCCACCAGCATTACTAACTGGTGGGAATTAAACACCCAAAAGTTTTTTTTGTATAGGTCAACTGAAGTATTTTATATGTTGCACATGTGCCTTACGAAGGTACAAACTCATTTCAAACGGTTAGGGATATGCCCCTTCCTTTTACTTGTGGCTGTGCCGTGTCAGAATTCAAATTCAATAATATTTTATTTCGTTCAAACTGTTCCTATCCTGATCACATCTAGTGAAAATTCTTTCTATTCGCGCAGTTTTCCTCAAGGTCACATCTCTAACCGTTTGAAACGAGTTTGTATCTACTTATTTAACTGAGTTCCGTGTACCTAGGTACGTAAAATAGGGACGAAGCAAAATTAATAAAAGTAGTATAAAGTCAGTAATTTATTGAAACTAACTGTAGTAAATGAAATGTCAAAATTGTACAACAAAACCTAAAGGTGAAAAGGGAAAAGGGCCAATAGCAGAAAAAAGGAACAATTACTTTTTAGGAAAGAAAGCCGTGGTTGGCAAATTACAAGGTAGGAGTAATCGTAAACTAATTTTCAAATTTATAAAGAACCCGAACCTTGTACCTGTATGTCAAGAAAACTGGAACAAGTACCCAGGACAATTTATTACGCAGTACGACTAAATTTACAATTAGTACTTATCTTGTCAATACGATTTTATAATAGTAACAGTACCAATTTAATTGAATAATGCTGACTTTTAGTGGACAACAAGGAATAATTATAACTATAAGAGTTAAAATACAACTAATTTCCATTAAAGTCTAACATTTTCGGTTTATAAACATATAACTTTAAGTGCAATAATTACGTAAACTTAATGTTAATGCATTTACTTATCGACTGCAGTTTCTGAAGAAGTGTTCCCATATCGTACTAATATATATCAAGCAAAAGCAGAAAGTTTGCACTGAATTGGAGAATAATGTTTACACTGTTATTTTTCACAAGTCTGGTAACTTTAATAATTTATATAACTGTTAATCATAAGCGCAAATGGAAAGCATTGGATAATATTCCAAGTCCTCCTACTTATCCTATCATAGGACACCTCCCCGTATTCATCGGATCGATGGAGGGTAAGCAAATCCGATAAAGCAATAAAACGAGTGTCCACTCACAATTTAGTTTTTACATTCTCTTTCTCTTTGTAAACTTTTTGGCGTACTAAAATATTTTTTTTCAATTTAACAGAAGTGACACACAAATTGAGAATTATATTGAATTTTCATGACCGCATGGTTAAAGTTTGGTCGGGTCCCTTTAATTTGGTTTTTATTAACAATCCAAAAGATGCAGAAATAATCCTGAAAAACTCAAAGGATATAGATAAGTCGCCTGATTATAAGTATTGGAAATCATTGGTAGGAGAAAGCTTATTCACGTCTGTTACAGGTTTTTTATTTTTAAATTCGATATTTATACTATGTCTTTGGTTATTTTAAATAACCGTATCTAATATCCTTGATAATACTAGAAAATATAATGGAATTCTTTGGAAAATAAAACACTAAATCCTAAAAAGCCTTTTGAGACCGAAAGTGCAATATTTAACTAGAAACTCATGTTAGTTTCCATTAGTGTTGTAACGAATGTCCGCATCCGCATCCGCAACTGCAGATGATTCACAAGAATTTAAATATTCGCACCATTGCTCGTACCCGCAAAATTAAACTGTTTAAAATCCGCGCTCTTAATCTAATCTGAACATTCTGATACGGATATATTTAGCAGATATGTTGATTGAATTTTAATGATCTGTACCTTCATCCGCATCTGCACGCTTAAGCTCATCCGCATCTGTTAAAGCACATGCGTTCAACTCTAGACTCTAGAGTGGAGACCACTGGTGGAAAAACGCGGTTTAGGCTCATTAATTATTATTATATTAATTAATTATGTGGAATTTTGGGATTTAGCGTATTATTAATATCTATAAAGTCTTTTACTACTAAGTTCACATTTTAGATTCAAGATATAAGAGAAATAAAAAGCTTATACTGGCCTCCCTTACTCTGAACAACGTCAAGGAATTTTTCGATTCGTTTAATAAACATACGGACAATTTAATTAGTACTCTTAATAAAAAAACTGGGCGAGAGTTTAATATTGGCGACGATTTGTCAATGTGTTCCATGAATATTTTGCTAGGTAATACATTTTTCAAAATAATTTTTCGCACAAAAACTACCGCACTTTTCATTTTTCTGAAAGCACTTTATTTAAGTTATGCTTTTTTTGCTATGATGCAAGCAAATTTTATCATACAACGGAAGTTACATCGCAAAATGCAACGGAAACTGCATGGTAGCATACGATGGAAACTGCGGGCACAACTCCAAACCGTCAACATTGTTTAAATAAATTTTTCATTCATCATAAGATCGTCAGACTGGTTGGACACGCACCTCCACTCTTTCATGTCCTGAGCTAAACTTCGCATTTCACTCAAGCTAGAACAACTCACATCCTTAACTATTTGCGAACAGTAATCTAATCTAGGTCTACCTTTATCCCTTCTAACTCCTCTTTCTGCCTCTAATATATCTCTGACTAGACCTTCATGTCTGAGAAGGTGTCCTACCAACCTATCTCGCCTATTTTTTATTGACTTCCTCTGTTCTCCTTTTCTTTCTAATATATCTTCATTTCCAACCTTCTCTATCCACGTTATCCTCATCATTCGCCTATAAAACCACATTTCGAACGCTTCTAACCTTTTCTTTTCCGCCGCGCCCACTGTCCATGTTTCGCATCTGTACTTTTCTTCGAATGTCTAAGTTAACCGTTCGCGAGCATAGAAATAAACAAATATGCAAATAGAAGTATAATTTCTACCGTGTGTATATAAACACAGGCAACTTTTTATCTAATAGTAAGAATACTCATTCCAACCTAAATATACCATCATCATCAATCATCATCATTCTTTAACCCCAAGAATAGTCGGACACGTATCCACAGTCCTTCATAACATGGAAAAAGTTTAGCATTTCTCGAAAGCTAGACCAACCTACATCTTTTATTATTTACTATTTGTAAACAATAATCTAATCTAGCTCTACCACTGCCCCTCTTAACTCCTGTCTTTACTACCCATACGACTCCAATTAGCCCTTCATGTCTGAAACCTTCGCCTATTTCTTTTTGACTTCCATAGCGTCATCTATATTTAAAAAATATTGAAAACGTTGTAAATAGATAATTAAAAATACCCAATAATTGTCACAATTATTTTCAGAAACTGTATTGGGATATAGTAAAGAAGATTTACGTAAGGACGCAAAAGCAATCATGGATTCTGTAGACAGGTATTTTAGCTGTTGTTACCGTTATTTATTACTAATTTCAAAAGAGTTATTATAAAATTTTCGCTATACTCAATTGGTTTAAACTTCTTTTGATTAGTCAAAACAAAAGATACTACTTAAAAAATTTAAATTGCAAACACGATAGGATTATACTTGAAAATATGGTATCAATTACGTTAAACATCTTTTAGAATGATTGAGCATTTTTAAAACGTAAAGTTTTGAATTTTAGGTTTGCAAAATATGGAGCAGAAAAAGTACTAAAATATTGGCTAAGACCATATTTCGTAACTTGGCTGTTAGGATACCAAAAGAAAATTAATAAAGATTGTGCCTTTATGGAAAATATCACCTCTCAAATAATTAACGAAAGATCTAAGAATAGAAAGCAAAATGAGGATAAATTTACCGTCTTTATTGACACGCTCTTGGATGCAAGGGATGAAAATGGTCCATGTTTTTCACTTAAAGAAATAAAAGATGAAATTATAACGATTATTTTTGCAGTATGTATCTTAAAAGTATTTTGAAACTGCACCTGTTACCATGTATTACTTGCATTTGCGCTTTTTTAAATCTCTTTTTAGGGTCAGGATACAGTTACTACAGCATTAGGATTCTCCTTGTGTCTTCTTGGTAGACATAAAAACGTTCAGGTAGATTTAGATTTAGTATTGCAAGGATAACATTCGATTTTATACTGTTTGTTGATTAAGGATAAACTTTATGAAGAGACAGTGACAAAGTTGGATAAAGATGATTGCTATATAACCTACGATTCGTTGAAGGACCTGGAGTATTTGGGTCGAGTTGTTCAAGAAACATTAAGATTATATCCATCAGCACCAGTGGTTGGAAAAGTTGCCCTAAACGATATTGATTTAGGTTTGGATTGAATGAAATTGATTTTCAATATTTTTTAATATTAATATTAGGATTTGTTTCATCTCAACATCAAAATAGATTGAGATATCTCGATGAAACAAAATCCATGTTGATCCTATGATTGTTGTCTAAAATTGTTATAAATATTTTATAAAAACGTATACAATACTTGCCGTTTCTGTGACAGATGGACAAATAATCCCAAAGGACACAAAAATGGCCATTAGCTTATATCATCTTCAAAGAAATCGAAATAATTATACCAATCCGAATGTATTTGATCCTGACAACTTCCTGCCGGAAAAAATCAATTCCAGACATCCGTATAGTTATATTCCTTTCTCATCCGGCAACAGGGCATGCATCGGTAATGAAAATGGAAAATTATGCATTTATTTAATATAAAAAGCAATTTTTTAGGTCAAACATATAGCGTTTTACTTCTAAAGGTGATTTTAGCCAAAATAATACTGAACTTTAAAATACATTCGAAAAAACCGGAAGAAGACTACAAATTTGCTTTCGAACCAACTGTAAAACGGAAGGATGGTTTTCTGGTAACTTTGGAACCTAGAAATAACAAAACTTGCAGTTAAATAATGTCTACAAGTAAATGATAAAATGTAGTTAAATATAGCAAGAAAAATCTGTAGAATTTTCGGTTATTTTTACTAATATTTGCAAAAAATTCCGCTTTATTAATGTTTAGCTTCAGTATATATTTTTAAAACTCGCTTAAAAACATAAGAATTTTTTTTCAATTTTCTATTTGCAATCAATTAAACTCTAAGAAAAAAATGAAGAATAGGAAATAATAAAATAATGTACGTATACACCTATGTACTTAAGGAAAAATAACGCTAAATAACTGTTTTTATATCCAAAAATAAATAAATAAAAAATTGACCACCCTCGCAAATAAATTAACGGATTATTAACAAATAAAGTATCTAATGCATATACATACATAATAAGCCATAAAAGTATTAAATTATTACAGTTCAAGTATCTGTCTAGCTTTTCAATATTACCAGCATTCTCTTGCTAGTATATGAATCATAAGAGATAAGAAGTTCTTTCACAAGTTATTATTAGCCAGTCTGTGGTAAACAAAGTAAGAGAATTACTGAAGAAACAGAGAGAACGATACCGAGAAAATATCATACAAAAAATGCCCTTGCTATGATAAATAACGCTATGCCTAATACATTAGCATAAAAATTTTTAAAGAATTTAAACGAAAATATTC